CATGGTCCAAGTGTCTGAGGGCTCTCAGGTATGGTCCAGGTGTCTGAGGGCTCTAACGTATGGTCCAGATGTCTGAATGCTCCCTGGCATGGTCCACGTTTCTGAGGGCTGTCAGGCATGGTCCAGGTATCTGAGGGCTCTCAGGCATGGTCCTGGTGTCTGAGGGCTCTCAGGCATGGTCCTGGTGTCTGAGGGCTCTCAGGCATGGTTCACGTGTCTGAGGGCTCTCTGGCATTATCCACGTGTCTGAGTGTTTCCAGGTATGGTCCGGGTGTCTGAGGACTCTCAGGCATGGGCCAGGTGTCTGAGGGCTCTCAGGCATGGGCCAGGTGTCTGAGGGCTCTCAGGCATGGTCCACGTGTCTGAGGGCTCTCTGGCATTATCCACGTGTCTGAGTGCTTCCAGGTATGGTCCGGGTGTCTGAGGATTCTCAGGCATGGTCCACGTGTCTGAGGGCTCTCTGGCATGGTCCACGTGTCTGAGGGCTCTCTGGCATTATCCACGTGTCTGAGTGCTTCCAGGTATGGTCCGGGTGTGTGAGGACTCTCAAGCATGGTCCACGTGTCTGAGGGCTCTCTGGCATGGTCCGGGTGTCTGAGGGCTCTCTGGCATGGTCCACGTGTCTGAGGGCTCCCAGGCATGGTCCACGTGTCTGAGGGCACTCTGGCATGCTCCACGTGTCTGAGGGCTCTCAGGTATGGTCCGGGTGTCTGAGGGCTCTCTGGCATGGTTCTCGTGTCTAAGGGCACCCAGGTATGGTCCAGGTGTCTGAGGGCTCTCAGGCATGGTCCAGGTGTCTGAAGACTCTCAAGCATGGTCCAGGTGTCTGAGGGTTCTCAGGTATGGTCCACGTGTCTGAGAGTTCTCAGGCATGGTCCGGGTGTATGAGGACTCTCTGGCATGGTCCACATGTCTGAGGGCTCTGAGGCATGGTTCAGGTGACTGAGGGCTTCCAGACATGGTCCAGGTGTCTGCATGAGGGCTTCTAGACATGGTCCAGGTGTCTGAGGGCTCCCAGGAATGGTCCAGGTGTCTGAGGGCTCCCAGGCATGGTCCAGGTGTCTGAGGGCTCTCTTAATCATGATCCAGGTGTCTGAGAGTGTCTCAGGTATGGTCCAAGTGTCTGAGGGCTCTCAGGCATGGTCCAGGTTTCTGAGGGCTCTTATGCATGGTCCAGTGTGTGAGGGCTCTCAGGTATGATCCAGATGTCTGAGGGCTCTCAGGCATGGTACAGGTGTCTGAGGACTCTCAGGTATGGTCCCGGTGTCTGAGGTCTCTCAGGCATGATTCAGGTGTCTGAGAGTCTCTCAGGTATGGTCCAGGTGTCCGAGGGCTCTCAGGCATGGTCCAGGTGTCCGAGAGCTCTCAGGCATGGTCCAGGTGTCTGAGGGCTCTCAAACATGGTCCAGTGTCTGAGGGCTGCCAGGCATGGTCCAGGTGTCTGAGGGCTCCCAGGCATGGTCCAGGTGTCTGAGGGCTCTCAAACACGGTACAGGTGTCTGAGGGCTCTCAGGCATGGTCCAGTGTCTGAGGGCTCTCAGGCATGGTCAAGGTGTCTGAGGGCTCTCAAGCATGGTCCAGGTGTCTGAGGGCTCTCAGGCATGGTCCAGGTGTCTGAGGGCACCCAGGCATGGTCCAGGTGTCTGAGGGCACCCAGGCATGGTCCAGTGTCTGAGGGCTCCCAGGCATGGTTCGGGTGGCTGAGGGCTCTCAGGTATGGTCCAGGAGTCTGAGGGTTCTTAGGCATGGTCCATGAGTCTCAGGGCTCTCAGGCACGGTCCGGATGTCTGATGGCTCTCAGGTATGGTCCATTAGTCTGAGGGCTCTCAGGCATGCTCCACGTTTCTGAGGGCTCTCAGGCATAGTCCAGGTATCTGAGGGCTCTCAGGCATGTTCCTGGTGTCTGAGGGCTCTCAGGCATGGTCCTGGTGTTTGAGCACTCTCAGGCATGGTCCACGTGTCTGAGGGCTCTCTGGCATTATCCACGTGTCTGAGTGCTTCCAGGTATGGTCCGGGTGTCTGAGGACTCTCAGGCATGGTCCACGTGTCTGAGGGCTCTCTGGCATGGTCCGGGTGTCTGAGGGCTCTGTAGCATGGTCCACGTGTCTGAGGGCTCCCAGGCATGGTCCACGTGTCTGAGGGCTCTCTGGCATGCTCCACGTGTCTGAGGGCTCTTAGGCATGGTCCGGGTGTCTGAGGGCTCTCTGGCATGGTCCTCGTGTCTAAGGGCTCCCAGGTATGGTCCAGGTGTCTGAGGGCTCTCAGGCATGGTCCAGGTGTCTGAAGACTCTCAAGCATGGTCCAGGTGTCTGAGATAAACAGGTATGGTCCACGTGTCTGAGAGTTCTCAGGCATGGTCCGGGTGTATGAGGACTCTCTGGCATGGTCCACATGTCTGAGGGCTCTGAGGCATGGTTCAGGTGTCTGAGGGCTTCCAGACATAGTCCACGTGTCTGCATGAGGGCTTCTAGACATGGTCCAGGTGTCTGAGGGCTCCCAGGAATGGTCCAGGTGTCTGAGGGCTCCCAGGCATGGTCCAGGTGTCTGAGGGCTCTCTTAGGCATGATGCAGGTGTCTGAGAGTCTCTCAGGTATGGTCCAAGTGTCTGAGGGCTCTCAGGCATGGTCCAGGTTTCTGAGGGCTCTTATGTATGGTCCAGTGTGTGAGGGCTCTCAGGTATGATCCAGATACCTGAGGGCTTTCAGGCATGGTACAGGTGTCTGAGGGCTCTCAGGTATGGTCCAGGTGTCTGAGGTCTCTCAGGCATGATCCAGGTGTCTGAGAGTCTCTCAGGTATGGTCCAGGTGTCCGAGGGCTCTCAGGCATGGTCCAGGTGTCCGAGAGCTCTCAGGCATGGTCCAGGTGTCTGAGGGCTCTCAAACATGGTCCAGTGTCTGAGGGCTCCCAGGCATGGTCCAGGTGTCTGAGGGCTCCCAGGCATGGTCCAGTGTCTGAGGGCTCCCAGGCATGGTCCAGGTGTCTGAGGACTCCCAGGCATGGTCCACGTGTCTGAGGGCTCTCAGGCAAGGTCCGGACACACACCAGAAGGTCAGGAGCTCTGCAGCGTGAAGGCTCAGCACTAGGTGAGGTCTGGTTATTGTGATAAAGCTTGAGAAAGTGCGAGTGTTTCGCCATGACACACACCACTCTACAGCACCTGGTCCTCCAGCCCGTCCTCCTTTGATTTCCCAACGTCCAGAAACTGTCGTACTAAAAGAGCGCCCTCCTAACCTACCAGAAGACTCAAAACAGAAAACCGGACTGTATGTCAATTTCGCATGTCGTTATCATTTTCTAGTACGACAATTTTGGGCTTTAGGTAGAGTATACGTCATAATTCGATGCTCTATTAGGATAACGTGTTGGATGAGCACCCCCCCCCCCATCCCCCTCCCCACACCTGAAGGGTCGACAGGTTCAGAGATACATTTCGACATAATATATTTATTGGTACATTTATGAGGATCTAAGTGGTTTTCTGTCTCTCAGTTAACAGCTAATCAGAGTCCACACTCCATGCTGGGAGACCATGACTTAAAGACCAAATATTGTGTCAGCTACACTCATTTGAGCTTCCATGTTCGTTCTCGTAGAATTAATCAGTTTATAATTTAAACATGAGGACAGATATATCTAACATTGACTTGGAATTGGACAGATCCTCCCTGCTATGGATGTATCTATGAATGTATAATATATTTTGCAATCAAAGGTTAACTACGCTTGTAGAAAACTTGAATCCGCCTTTGAAACCACCTATAAACATTACATATCGCGAATATTGCCCAAGAATGCGTCTCTGTACGAAACTCGTCTCTGAAATATATATTATATGATATATTTATATGGAAATATATTGTTAAATTAATTAGAATACATATAAATTAATTAAAAAAATTATTAAATTAAATGAAAATATATAATAAATTAAATTAAGTTAATATTAAATGTTGACATTTGGACATAATAATATAACATTAATTTAAACATTAATATTTTTAAAGTTCAAGAAGAGCCAACATATCCAAGATTGTCTTGAGTACTCTTGAATGATGATTTAAAGGTCAAATCTACAGAAGCTGGCGGTAAAGGATGGGTAATAATTTCATACAGGATGACCCTTACAACAATCACTCTCCTCGAGGATGATGCTGTATCATTACAGATATTTTGTTCATTATTGAACAAAAGATTGTTCAACAGTCTTATGACAATTTTAACTGATTATATGTGTACCTGTGGACAAGTGATTTATTATATTGTTCAGAGTAATATATGTATCACTGTATCGATGAGAAAATCAGTAGGAGTCATGAGGAGGATTCGAACCTGCACACTCCCAAGCACACGCCCTAAGCCGCTGGGCCACAATATGCTGCAGGAGTAATGCAACCTGGGATTCAACTGAATCCTCAATGGTTCCTGATGCATCTTCATGTACCAAGTTAAGGTGTCACACATTACCGCCATACACTCTGGCTGTTGTATAAGAGTTCTACCCCTCAACGCTTCTCTTCAAGTGTATAAATAAATCACATTACCGTGATGTATCATCACGGCTCCCACTGATTTTCTCATTGATACATCACGGTAATGTGATTTATTTATGCATCTGAAGAGAAGCGTTGAGGGGTAGAACTCTTATACAACAGCCAGAGTGTATGTCAGTAATGTGTGACACCTTAACTTGGTACCTCAAGATGCATCAGGAACCACTGAGGATTCAGTTGAATCCCAGGTTGCATTACTTTTGTAGCATATCGTGGCCCAGTGCTTAAGGATCTGTGTGCTCCCAGTGTGCAGGTTCTAATCCTTCTGATGGCTACTATTAATTTGCTCATTCATCATATACACGTTTTTCTTTATCATAAGCCACTTTGTCACAGTAAACAATATCTTCTTAATGGTAAGACATGAAAGATAATTCCTCAGTACATTAGATATAATTATTTATTTACTAGCTTCGCTAAACGTTAATAAACAGAAAGTTGAAAACTTACCAGAAGGAATGTTTGTACAGTTAGTTGCCCAGAACATCTTCTGGTTACTAGTAACTCTCAAGTCAGGTTTGGTTTTATCTGTACAATCAATTACTTCTGCTACACTGAGTGTTGGTATTGTTAAGGAGTAGGTCTTGCCGGACCTGGTGGTCGCCTTGTCCTTCATTACACCATCATCTGTGACTGTAACTTTGTGCCACTGTTGATGGTGAGATGAATTAACTATTATCGTCTTGTTTCTTCCGGGCAGCTGCAGAGTGATCTCACTGATATCTTGCCCAGGCCACCAGTAGCGTGTGACGGTACCGTTACAGATCACCATGCAAACACCATATATTTTTTCTGAAGTGATGCATCCTAAAAACAACAAAAATAAAATCAATATATCTCGAGAAAACTATATTGACGATCAACGCCATAAATATTATATTTCCATAAAAGTTGTGATTATTCTCTGAGCAAAGAGAGGATAGACACATGTAACTTGATCTTATCTCGCGTGAACTAGATAAACTCAGGTCTTTTTTATCAAAGGAATCAAAAACAGTTGTATGGAAAATATACACATTCATCTCAGAACATTGAGAAACGTTATGTTTTGATGCTCTCTTCTCAGAAAGATTCAAAGTTCTGAACCAAATTTGAACTAAACAATGTTCATAAAATTATCTTGGCAAAGAATAATCGCGCAGTAAAATAAATAAAAACTTAGCATGAATAGCAAAATAATGAGCATAATTTTATCCATGATATTTCACAACATATACTCAAATATTATTCTATTAGTTAGACAAAAGATAAAGAAGCAGAAACTTTTATTAATAACTGAGACAATTTGTATCATGCATACTCAAAATTATCTGGGATATTCTTTAACTATGTTAATGCTTTTTTATTTATTACGAAAAAGACATTCATGTCCTTATAGACTTACTGCCAATACACAGACTTCTTGCCACAAGTAGATATTTCCTACCACACACATTTAATATTCTCAAAGGGACTTTCTGACCTTTGTCAGAAAGGTCAGTGTTTGCCAGTGTCTCCGACACTGACAAACAGGGTATAGACTCAGTCCTCTCAATGTTTGCTGATGATGCAAAAATATGAGAAGAATCAAGACAGATGAAGATAGACAACAGAGACAGTAGGTCGACCTGGACAAACTGAAGAAATGGTCTAAAATATGGCTACTAAAGTTAAATTTTGGTAAATATAAATTAATTAAATTAGGTGAAGGTAGCAGACACCCAAACACCGTCTTCTAGCCCCAACACCGTCTTCCTGCCCCAACACCGTCTTCCTGCCCCAACACCGTCTTCCTGCCCCAACACCGTCTTCCTGCCCCAACACCGTCTTCCTGCCCCAACACCGTCTTCCTGCCCCAACACCGTCTTCCTGCCCCCGACACCGTCTTCCTGCCCCAACACCGTCTTCCTGCCCCAACACCGTCTTCCTGCCCCCGACACCGTCTTCCTGCCCCCAACACCGTCTTCCTGCCCCAACACCGTCTTCCTGCCCCAACACTGTCTTCCTGCCCCAACACCGTCTTCCTGCCCCCGACACCGTCTTCCTGCCCCCAACACCGTCTTCCTGCCCCCGACACCGTCTTCCTGCCCCAACACCGTCTTCCTGCCCCAACACTGTCTTCTTGCCCCCAACACCGTCTTCCTGCCCCCGACACCGTCTTCCTGCCCCAACACCGTGTTCCTGCCCCAACACCGTCTTCCTGCCCCCGACACCGCCTTCCTGCCCCCAACTCCGTCTACCTGCCCCAACACCGTCTTCCTGCCCCAACACTGTCTTCCTGCCCCCAACACCGTCTTCCTGCCCCCGACACCGTCTTCCTGCCCCAACACCGTCTTCCTGCCCCCGACACCGTCTTCCTGCCCCCGACACCGTCTTCCTGCCCCAGCACCGTCTTCCTGCCCCAACACCGTCTTCCTGCCCCCGACACCGTCTTCCTGCCCCAACACCGTCTTCCTGCCCCAACACCGTCTTCCTGCCCCCAACACCGTCTTCCTGCCCCCAACACCGTCTTCCTGCCCCAACACCGACTTCCTGCCCCAACACTGTCTTCCTGCCCCCAAGACCGTCTTCCTGCCCCCGACACCGTCTTCCTGCCCCAACACCGTCTTCCTGCCCCCGACACCGTCTTCCTGCCCCCGACACCGTCTTCCTGCCCCAACACCGTCTTCCTGCCCCAACACCGTCTTCCTGTCCCCGACACCGTCTTCCTGCCCCAACACCGTCTTCCTGCCCCAACACCGTCTTCCTGCCTCCGACACCGTCTTCCTGCCCCAACACCGTCTTCCTGCCCCCGACACCGTCTTCCTGCCCCAACACCGTCTTCCTGCCCCAACACCGTCTTCCTGCCTCCGACACCGTCTTCCTGCCCCCTATTCCGTCTTCCTGCCCCCTACACCGTCTTCCTGCCCCCGACACCGTCTTCCTGCCCCCGACACCGTCTTCCTGCCCCCGACACCGTCTTCCTGCCCCAACACCGTCTTCCTGCCCCCGACACCGTCTTCCTGCCCCAACACCGTCTTCCTGCCCCAACACCGTCTTCCTGCCCGAACACCGTCTTCCTGCCCCCGACACCGTCTTCCTGCCCCGACACCGTCTTCCTGCCCCAACACCGTCTTCCTGCCCCCGACACCGTCTTCCTGCCCCGACACCGTCTTCCTGCCCCAACACCGTCTTCCTGCCCCCGACACCGTCTTCCTGCCCCAACACCGGCTTCCTGCCCCAACACTGTCTTCCTGCCCCAACACTGTCTTCCTGCCCCAACACCGTCTTCCTGCCCCCGACACCGTCTTCCTGCCCCAACACCGTCTTCCTGCCCCCGACACCGTCTTCCTGCCCCAACACCGTCTTCCTGCCCCCGACACCGTCTTCCTGCCCCAACAGCGTCTTCCTGCCCCAACACCGTCTTCCTGCCCCCGACACCGTCTTCCAGACCCAACACCGTCTTCCTGCCCCCGACACCGTCTTCCTGCCCCGACACCGTCTTCCTGCCCCAACAGCGTCTTCCTGCCCCAACACCGTCTTCCTGCCCCCGACACCGTCTTCCTGCCCCCGACACCGTCTTCCTGCCCCAACACCGTCTTCCAGACCCATCACCGTCTTCCTGCCCCCGAAACCGTCTTCCTGCCCCAACACCGTCTTCCTGCCCCCGACACCGTCTTCCTGCCCCAACACCGTCTTCCTGCCCCAACACTGTCTTCCTGCCCCAACACTGTCTTCCTGCCCCAACACCGTCTTCCTGCCCCCGACACCGTCTTCCTGCCCCAACACCGTCTTCCTGCCCCCGACACCGTCTTCCTGCCCCAACACCGTCTTCCTGCCCCCGACACCGTCTTCCTGCCCCAACAGCGTCTTCCTCCCCAACCACTGTCTTCCAGCCTTAACACCGTCATCTTGCCCCAACACCGACTTTCTGGTCCGAAACTGCTTTCTTGTCCCAACACTATCTTCCTGTTCCTGCACCAACAGTGTCATCCAACAACTACACTGTTTTTTCCCCGTGAACCTTCTTCCTCCCACAACAATGTCTTCTCGTCACAACACTGGCTTCCTGCTCAAACACTGTCATCCAACTACAACAAAGTTGTCCTCCCCCACCACTCTCTTCCTGCCCTAACTAAACTGTCTTCCTGTCACAACACTTTGTGAAAGTAAAAACTTGCATTCCCCTGAACATTATATTATAGAATGTCCCTTAATGACTGAGTTTCTCCCTCCTGGGCTGAGGTATGCTGAATTCTGTAAATACAATATGAATAATGGAACACTTGATGATATTTTGGACTTGTACCCAAGATTGTCTGTGTAATACATCGGTTATACAATGTTTTGTACCTTTACAATATGTAATACATCTGTTATACAATGCATGTACCTATAACCTGAGCTTGTAAAAGCACCTTAACCACCTTCAGTGGTTTAGTGTTTAATATCACACTAGTTTTTTATAAAAGCCTATCAATTTCTTCAGCTTTGAAGGAGGCCTGTCAATGTGTAGCAGTATTCCACTGTAGAGAGCACGGGCGTCTTGAAGAGTATCATCATTGGTACAGCGTTCTCTAGTTTTAAAGGTTCTTGTTATCCAACCTGTCATTTTTATTGCAGTTGTGACGGTTACTTTATTGTGTTCCTTATAGGTAAGGTCTTCCAACATAAGAACATCCAAATCTAGGCTTTACCTCTAAAGAATGTGAAGGGCACATTCATTTGGGCACTCAGTTTCCACCTGTGTCCCCTAGTGCGTGTGCCCCTTGTGTTAAATAGCCTGTCTTTATCAACCCTGTCGATTCCCTTGAGAATCTTGAATGTGGTGATCATGTCCCCCCTAACTCTTCTGTCATCCAGCGAAGTGAGGTTTAATTCCCGTAGCCTTTCCTTGTAGCTCATACCTCTCAGCTCGGGTACTAGTCTGGTGGCAAACCTTTGAACCTTTTCCAGTTTAGTCTTATGCTTGACTAGATATGGACTCCATGCTGGGGCTGCATACTCCAGGATTGGTATATGTGGTATACAAAGTTCTGAATGATTCCTTACACAAGTTTCTGAATGCCGTTCTTATGTTGGCTAGCCTGGCATATGCCACTGATGTTATCCTCTTGATATGGGCTGCAGGGGACAGGTCTGTCGCGCGCGCGCGCGCGTGTGTGTGTGTGTGTGTAATAGAAAAATCCTCACCCCTGAAGGACTCGAACCCCGACTGCTAGGGGCTCTATGCACATTGGTGTGTCCAGTACTTTCACCACTAGGCCACAATGTTAAAATAATTAGAAGTCTTCAGATCATTAACGCAAATCCCAACAGCACTCGGTGACCTTTCTGGGCAAAGATATTGTACTCATTTATTCTCATTTGAAGTGGTGATAGTACTGGACACGCCAATGTTCATGGTGAATGTTGTGTTACGCAAACTTTGCATATGGTTTCTAAAGGCACCAAGTTGTAAATGGCAGGTCAGACTTCTCGAAAGGTTTGTGGTGGCCATACCACCACAAAGTGGTATGGCCACCACTTATGGTATAATGGCCACAACGTTTTATGGTATAAAACGTTGGCTTTTGGAGAGGGTTGTATTGTTTATTGGGGCTATTCTTAGGTATTAAATCAGCAGTCTTTTTTGTTTTGAAGTAAATAATGAGTTCCAGTCTTTGGTCTGGAACTGTAGGTTGCATTCCATCTGCAATTGTATTATTAATTATTCTTTCTTCTGTTTTATACTTTGACCTCATAGTGGATTTGTGATAGAGCTTAATGAGAGGGATTGTTCCTTGTCGTGGTCGTTGTTCTCGGTTGTAATATTTTTCGAAATATCTTCTGATATGAATGTTGACTTCTCAATTCGTGTACCACGGTTTATTAATACTTGAAGGCTTCTGTTCAGCTCCTTGTAGATGTTATGCCAGTCGGAACAATGAGTCAGGGGCTCAGCGTATGAATGAGTTTATCACAATAGTCTTATATCTGTCTGGGCATTCAGAGCGACCATTCATACACATCGCAATGTTGGTGGGTTTAGTATAAACTTGTGTGGTGAAAGTGTTGTCTTTGGTTCTCACGAGGAAAGGGAGTGCACCATCGATGCCTCGTTCATGGGTAAAGTTAAGCACTGAGATTTGAGTAAGTATATCCTTTTATCGTGACAATTCCTGGAGGTCTTTCACACATATGAATATGTCATCGATGTATCTGCAGTAGATGCGAGGCTTCGCTGTGGTTTTGAAGATGGAGTCTTCTAGTGTTGCCATATAGAAGTCAGCAAAGAAGACTCCTAGTGGGGACCACATGGCTACTCCGTCTATCAGCAAGTTAGCAAGAAAAACCTACCTAAGAATTAAGTTCAAAGAAGTTCTTATAATCATTCGAAGATTCAAGAAAGAGAAAGCTAAAACCAAAAAATGAATGTACAAAAACAAAGGTACCAAAAAGCGATGCAGATGTACAGTAAGAGATACCTGGATGGCTATCTTTGCTATCTGAAGTTTTAGACTGGAGCGAGAGAATACGCCGCAACAGAGAGCAGTTTACAATTAGGCCGATCCAAAGAAGACCGACCAGCAGGAAACAGAAGTTTACTTGATCTATGACCAAGCTTCATATTCTCATATTCTTCATATTCATATCAGTAGATAATTCTCATTTGAAAGATATTTAGAAGACTCACCATTATTATGATGATGTAAGAAATTTATCACAGAAGGATGGTCATAAATTCCACAGTGACTAACCTTGAGAATATATTGGAGTTATCACTTGAAGGGCCATCACTCCCACAACAGTCATCCACCACCATCGCCAACACGGATGTCGAGGGTGACTGATCCACATCTTACTGACGTCAGTAGTAAAGCTGAAACAGGAATCGCTAGTGAGTCACCAAGCTTGATGTTAACATACTGACGTCAACAGTAAAGTGGCCTGAAGCAAAATATTTATTACATGAATAATGTGACAACACGAACCAGAGATATAGTCTAACACCAGCCAGAGATATAGTCTAACACCAGCCAGAGATATAGTCTAACACCAGCAAGATATATAGTCTAACAACAGCCAGAGATATAGTCTAACACCAGCCAGATATATAGACTAACAACAGCCAGAGATATAGTCTAACACCAGCCAGAGATATAGTCTAACACCAGCCAGAGATATAGTCTAACACCAGCCAGAGATATAGTCTAACACCAGCCAGAGATAAAGTCTAACACCAGCCAGAGATATAGTCTAACAACAGCCAGAGATATAGTCTAACACCAGCCAGATATATAGACTAACAACAGCCAGAGATATAGTCTAACACCACCCAGAGATATAGTCTAACACCAGCCAGAGATATAGTCTAACACCAGCCAGAGATATAGTCTAACACCAGCCAGAGATATAGTCTAACGCCAGCCAGAGATATGGTCTAACACCAACCAGAGATATAATATAACACCAGCCAGAGATATAGTCTAACACTATCCAGATATAAATTCTAACACTATCCAGAGATATAATCTAACACCACCCAGACATTAGTCTAACACAAGCTAGATATATGGTCTAACACCACCCAGAGATTTAGTCTAACACCTGACAGAGATATACTCTAATACCACCCAAAGATATAGTCTAACACCACCCAGAGATATAGTGTAACACCACCCAGAGATATACTCTAATACCAGCCAGATATATAGACTAACACCATGCACAGAGATATAGTCTAGCACCACCAAGCGATATACTCTAACACCACACAGATATACAGACTAACACCAGCCAGAGATATAGTCTAACACCAGCCAGAGATATAGTCTAACACCACACAGATATATAGACTAACATCAGCCAGATATATAGTCTAACATCAGCTGGATATATAGTCTAACACCAGCCAGATATTTAGTCTAACACCAGCCAGACATATAGTCTAACACTACCCAGAGATATAGACTAACACCACCCAGAGATATAGTCTACCGCCAGCCAGAGATATAGTCTAACGCCAGCCAGAGATATAGACTAACACCACCCAGAGATATAGTCTAACGCCAGCCAGAGATATATTTTCTCCAGCCAAAGATATAGTCTAACACCAGCTAGAGATATAGTCTAACATCAGCCAGAGATATAGTCTAACACCAGCTAGAGATATAGTCTAACATCAGCCAGAGATATAGTCTAACACCACCCATCTTGAGGTTATCTTCAGATGATTTAGCGTCTCTGCAGCTTGGTCCTCGACTAGGCCTTCTCTTTGTTATATACCCCCCATCAAGCAGCCGGTAGCAGCTGTCTAACTCCAAGGTACTTATTTGCTGGTAAGTGCACAGGCACCACAGGGTGAAGGAAAGTCTGCCCATTTGTTTCCGCCTCCACCGGGGATCGAATACGGAACCTCAGGACTACGAATCCGAAGCGTTCTCTCCACTCAGCTTTCAGGCCCTATGTTATAGTCAAACACTAGCCAGAGATATAGTCTAATACCAGCCAGAAATAAAGTTTATCACCTCCCAGATATATTATCTAATACCACACAGAGATATAGTTAATACCACCCAGAGGTATAGTCTAACATCACACAGATATATAGTCTAACACCACCCAGATGTATATAATCTAACACCATCCAGAGATATAGTCCAACACCAGCCAGATATATAATCTAACACCACCCAGAGGTATTGTCTAACTCCACCCAGAGATATAAACTAACACCACCCAGAGATATAAACTAACACCACCCAGAGATATAAACTAACACCATCCAGAGACATATCAATGCAATCGGAAACATTGAAATGGAATCGTAACATATTAAGTACTAGCTGTACCCGGCCATGCGATGCTTTGGCTCAGCTCAGGTACCCTCCCCTGTCCCCCCCGTCATCCGAACCATTCCCCCTCCCCTCCTTCTTCCCCTTGTCCTCCCAACAATTCCCCACTCCCCCACCCTATCATCCTCCCCGTCATCCCCCACTCTCCAGTCCCCTTGTCATCCCCACTATTCTCCCCTCCCCTATCCCCTCGTCCTCCCCCACTATCCCCCCATCCTCTCGTCCTCTTTACCGTTCCTCATTCCTCCCCTATCCCCTCGTTCTCCCCTCCAACCCTTACTGCCCTGTCCCCTTGCTCTCCCCCCCCCTCCCCATTCTCCACTCCCTTGTTCCTCGTCCATCCGTTTCCTTTTCCTACCCACCGTTACCCCCTCCCCCATTCCCTCGTCCTCCCCACTCCCATCCCTCGTCCTCCCCACCATTCCCCACTCCCTCGTCTGATGCATTCCCAAATGATCTGATGTTCCCTATGGAAAAATGGAACATCAAATGATCAGATGTTCCCTTCACTGAAAAATAAGAAGAACAGATAAAAAAACGAAATGAAAAAATAAATAAAATAAACTATAATCATGAAATGAACGGTATGGTAAACAAAACAGCTCAATTTCAACACAATGTCACACAAAATAATTAAATCAAAATGAAAATAAATCGAAATCTATGAAAATACAATTTATTAATGCAATGGGAAATAGTGAAATGGATTTGTAAAATATTTAGTATAGAGTGTGTTACTTTTACATGCAACAGATGGCGCTTTTTTCAAAAAAATGCATGTCTTTACCTGTCACAGTTGTGGCATCTATATAGTATGTATATAAAAACATGTGCATATTCTAATTTTGTGTCAAAATTTCAAATCAATCGGTGAAGAACCTTCGGAGATTACAGTGTGTGTTGCTCTTACGTTCAACAGATGGAACTGTTTTTTAAAAAGAACATATGTTTTCCTGTCACCTGTGCGGCATGTATATCGTAGGTGTATAAATACACAAGCATATTCAAAAGCAATGTTGCATCAAAATTTCAAAGAAATCGGTAAAGAGGTTCGGGAGAGTTACTTCACATGAAAAACACAGTTTTTTTAAAAAAGCATGTTTTTACCTGTCTAGGGCGTGACATATATATAATATGTATATAAAATCAAGCTCGTATTTAAATGGAACGTTGTGTCAAAATTTCAAAGTAATCGGTGAACAACTTTCGGAGATCAGCGATTTTGAACAAACTAATATATACATTTTAATTTATATATATAGCATGTGTTGCTTTTACGTGCAACAGATGGCGCTATTTTTCAAAAGAAGCATGCTTTTACCCGTCACATGAGTGGCATCTATATAGTAGGTATATAAAAACATGTGCGTATTTGAATGGAACGTTGTGTAAAAATTTCAAAGCAATCGGTGAAGAACTTTCCGAGATTACAGCGTGTGTTGCTCTTATGTCCAACAGATGGCGATGATTAAAAAAAAAACAAAAAAAAATCACTTCCACATTTGCAAAGGCTGTCATCCCGAAAGTCGACAAGATCTTATCAAATTTTGGCATTCCTGAAGTTGTCAAGACGGACAATGGACAGCCATTCAATGGACAATACTTCCTCAACTTTGCTGTGCAAATTGGATTCAAACACCGCTGTGTGATGCCATTACATTCTCAAGCAAATAGAGAAGTCGAGAGATTAATGCAACCTCTCATGAAAGAGGTACGCTGTGCTCATGCCGAAGAACGATCCTGGAAACAAGCTATGCATGGTTTTCTCATGAACTATCGTGCAATACCGCAAGGAACACTGGGTAAATCGCCTGGTGAACTCTTATTTGGACGTCCTATGAGGATCACACTACCTGTCATGCCAGCTGAGGTAACGGATAAGTGTCTTGCTCAGAAGGATGCACTAGCCAAAGGCAAAATGAAAATTGCTCATGATCAACTTGCAAAGGAATAATTCATAAAGGTTGGAGACACTGTTCTAGTTCAAAAGAAATAAGAGGGTAAACTAGATATGCCGTATGATACAAAACTATATAAAGTGATTAGTGTAAAAGTAGCGATGGTAACAGCGAGTAATAGACATCAAGGTATAACACATAACATGGCTTATTTCAAAGTAATTCCTACTAGTGTAAAAAATGCTGAAATGCAAAGTCATACAGACGATAAAGAAAAAATGAGTTATAACCCGACAAACAATTCATCAAGGGGTATTCTTGTGTTTAAGTACTCTCGTCCTAAACGTCATGTTAAACGCCTTAAGTGATTTGATGATTAATTGTTTTCCTATGTAATGCAAAGTATTTACTTATTATGCTAACTTAAATTTAATATTGTTTGAATAATGCAGAGCTCTCATTCAATATTTTGTATCTTAGTAGTAGAGTTTCATTCATTTTTGTTTAACATTGCATTTGTATTTTTAACATTGAAATCCTGTGTGGTAAAGATTAAGTTGTTTAAATTCTTTGTGTGCTTAATCAATGTAAAATGTATGCAACATCTTTTGATATGTTAATAACTTACTTTATGTAAATAACTTTGCTTTGTGCTACAAGCATGGTAGACATCCTGTAATCATTCTTTTTAAAGAAAAGGATGGATGTCATGTTCATAGCAATCGACATCACCGTTTGTATGCGCTGCGTCATACTCCAGCGGTATGTAAACAACAGAGAGCGTACAGGACGCCCGCTAAGCTTTGACGCTGCTAGTCATGTATCTTTATAAGTATTAAAGTCAGTAACCAAGCAATGGCTTCATATCAACCCTACAACCAAAAGTTCCCCAGCAACACACAACACCACAGATATAGTACAGTATAAAACAGCTAAATATATAGTTTAACACAAGTTATAGATATAGCATAACACCAGCTGGAAATATAGTCTAACAACAGCTAAATATATATATATATATATATATATATATATATATATATATATATATATATATATATATATATATATATATATATATATATATATATATATATATATATATATATATATATATATATATATATATGTCGTACCTAGTAGCCAGAACGCACTTCTCAGCCTACTATGCATGGCCCGATTTGCCTAAT